GTCCAGGGGGGCGGGGGGGCGGCGGCGCCGTCCGATGACTGACGATAGCCATCGAGCGAGGGAATCGCCGGCGACGTCTCTCTCTGTCGTCCTTCATCTCCTTCAGTCGGTGTTGATGTCGGAGTGGGAGAAGGGGGTGCTGTCGGGGGTGGTGGGCAACGGAGAAGAGAAGAGAGAAGAAAAAAAAAATGAAAACCGTTTTCAGAAGAGAAAACGAAAACGAGAAATTTTTCCGTTTTCAATTTTTCACAAAAAGACAAAAACGTTTTTGTTTTTGTTTTTTAAAAAATTTTGTGCCAAACACGTTTTTAGATGGTGTTTTCATTTTTTAGCTTCGAAAAACGTGAAAAATGGAAACGAAAACAAAAACAAACAGGCACAGACTGTTCTTTTTTCACTAAGTCACAATTTAAATTATTTTTACGTGGAAAAAATATTATAATAAAAAAAATTAAATTTTAATAATTGTAAGGAAAAAGCACCGTAAAAAAAAATTAAATTGTAATTTGAGTTGTTAAAAGAATAAAATTTTGATTCTTAATGTGGCTTTAATATATTGTCCCTGTGGCTTTAATATACGCCAATCATATGATTTATCATTACCCTATGGAAAATAACAGCCTTAGCATACTTTACCACAAATGTTACTGTTTCTTTTTTATATTTTACCGCTGTTAAAAAAAATGTTATCGCTTTGTAAAGTGTTACTCAAAACAAAAAAAGTTTTCGTTTGTTATCGTTTTCCAGGCCATTATCAGTTTGTCATTCATTCCCTCTCATTGCCCCTTTCTCCACTTCCTCCTCTTGTTTTGAGAACAAAGGTTCGTTTCTGTTAAATAATAGAATTCTATACCATTTATCTTAAATAATAGAATTCCATACCACCCAAAATTCAAACAAAATGTTAGTAAAAGCAAAACTTTGGGTACAAATATATAACTTCAAGGATTCAACGGAGAGCTCCACCATCTCATACCTAAGCCTCCAATGCCTCACTACTATGTAAAGACAGGTATATATGCAATTTCATGAGGTCTTTTTTTATTTTTTTGAACTTTTCGACATTAAAAAGTAAAAATAAGCAACTTTTCATTTTTATTTCCTCCTTTCTCTTTCTCATTTTGCTTTCCTTTTCGGCAGTAGTTTTAAAGTTTTACAATTTACGTATATTAGTTTCAAACTAGTAAGATAAAGCTTGTTTATGGATTTCAGCATTGGTTAAGACTGAAGCAAAAACTTCAATCTCAGTTTCATTGTTAGAACTATATGTTATCCTAAAGAGTCCCAAACTACTCTCCATTATTGGTTCCAAAACAAGGACTTCTTTACATTGGTAGGACAGCTAAAGCAACTAGTTCTCAAGCGGTTCTACTCTATGCAGCCTCAGTTCTTTAATAAAGGCATCGAAATTGGAGTAAGAAGATCCACCTTCTTCAAAAGCCCGGCTCGCCATTTCGCTAAGCACACTGGCTCTGCTTCTCATTTTCTCTGCTTCTTCTCCATCCATAATCCTTTTCACCCCATTTTCTATGGCTTCCCGCTTCACTGCACTATCCTCCACTACAAGTGCCCATTCTTGAGCTCCAACCCCAACCCCGATCCCAAGTATTTCAGTAACAAACTTCTCATTGTAAAACTGCTCGGAAAACATCGGCCATGTCAACATTGGCACCCCGGCACACACCGCTTCCAGCAACGAGTTCCAACCACAGTGTGTCACGAATCCTCCGATCGCCTCATGTTCGAGAATCATCCCTTGTGGTGCCCAACCTCTTATAATTAGTCCTTTCCCTTCAATTCTCTCTTCAAATCCTTGCGGCAACCACTCTTCTCTCCCCACCCCTTCTTGCTTCTTCTCATTCTTCACAACCCAAATGAATTGCTTCCCCGAAGTCTCGAGTCCCATCGCAATCTCTGTTAATTGCGCATCGCCAAAGCTTGCCATGCTTCCAAAACATACATAAACAACGGAGTTGGGTCTCTTCGAGTTAAGCCACTTCAAGCATTCATAGTCGTCAATGGAGGCAGCTTGATCAATTCCGATTTTTTCTTTTGCTTTGATTTTATCGCATAGCGAAACCGGACCTATATGCCACGCCTTCCTTCCAAGAACCCTCCTGTAATGATCAGCATAGTCCCGTTCAAGCTCGTAGAAGCTGTTCACAACCACCCCAAAGCACTTCAGCTCAGCCTCTTTCGCTTCTCTGTATGACTTAGTAAACGGCGATTCGGCGTTTTGCTTGACATAAGGCGGCAGTTGCTTCCGCGACAACCTTACCTCGTCCGGGAGATTTGGAATTGTGAAAGGCTCTGAATCTGACTCCACCTTCTCGTGAGGCTCATGCATTAACACGCTCATTATAGCGCACAGAGGGAAAAACCCGGTGCCATGGAAGACAACTCTAGGAATCTTGAACTTCGCCGCCACATCCGTAGCCCAAGTGAAGAACGCGTCTGCCACAAGGCAATCCGGACGGTGTTCCTTGAGCAGCTGCTCGAGCTGTTCATCGAGCGCCGCGGTGGATTCGATGAATTTCCGCAGCGTATCTCTCGTGGAACTGCTGGCTTCACGAGATGCAGTTTGTTCCATATCCGGAAATTTGATGACAAGAAGACTAATATCCAGTCCCATGTTTTGGCTGTTTCGGATTGTTTTTGAGTGGAGTCGCGCATTTGCGGAGGTCGTGGCGATGGTTGATTTTAGACCCCGCAAAGCGAAGAGTTTGGCCATGTTTATGATTGGTATGGTGTGGCCTTGGATCATCAAGGGTAAGAAGAAGATGTGAAGCTTATGGGATATTGGACTGGTTTCCATTTAGGCTTTGTTAATAGTGAATTATTGATGGGCACACCCACAATGAAGGAGGTGAACGGTTCGCTGGGCTTAGGATTTTGATTAGTTGATAATTGAAATGAGTTAGAAAAATTGGGGTAAATGCTATATCTCTTTCACATTAGTATTTAAGGTCGCAAAGATGAAGAAAAAGAGAGACATTGACGTATTTTGTATTTTTCTAAGATGGTATGAGGAATGGGGAGACAAAAGAAGATTTCCTAGATCACCATGGACAAATGTTCCACAAGATGGACCCAGACACCAAATGCAATAATGGGATTTTTCTTATCTTTATGTAAAATCATTTGATAAAAAGAAAATTAGAATGGTGGGAACTTTAATTTCTTTTACAAAAGATGTTTTCTAAAAAGAGTGAGTTAGGAAAAAATAAAAAATACCAGATTACTGGGGACACAACTCTCAACCATCATAGTTAAATCCTCATTTATTTTTTATCTAATATAATTCTGATATAATCTAAGAGCATATAATACAGTTATATTAATATTAATATATTTTTTAATACCCTATATCTTTTAATTTTTTTTTTCTATTGTTTAATTTATTTTTATTCGGTGAGTTGGAATACAAAATGAGAATAGCAAGCGACTTTCTTTCCTCTTATCATTGCCACTCACGTGCACTTCTAGCACCAGACAACAAAACTAACATTTTCTCCCCCATCGCTTATGTTTAATGGTGATGAATACCACGTTTTTTTCTTTTTCTTTTTTTTTTTTTTTGAAAAAATGAATACCACGTTTTTGTTTACTACCTTCTTTTTTTTTTTTTTTTTTTTAATTTCCTTTCCGGCTTGAATGTATCAGTTTCTTGATCGTGGCCAAAAGTATAATAAAGCAATGTTCTTTATGCAAATACATAGGAAAATGTTGGCAACAAAAATAAGCACATTCGGGATTTAGAAAAAAAAAAAACGACACCCTTGTTAGACATATGTCTCAAGTTCCTTACAATATTGTTTGAGGATTCTCTATTAGCACACATTCAAAATCACAAAATACATGTTCTTTTGGTTTTTGTTTTTTTTTTTGTTTGCCAAACTTTATAAGCCATTTGTTTTTTTTTGTTTTTTTTTTTTTTTGGGAAACATTACAAACCAAGTGACCTCAATTCTTCAGTAAGAGAACTCAACTGGCAATAGGAAGAACCCCCTGGTTCAACAGCTCTCTTAGCCGTCTCTCTCAGCCTCTTTGCTCTGCCTTTCATCTCCTCTGCTTCTTCACCCTCCATAACTCTTCTCACTGCCTTGTCAAGTGCTTCCCTTTTAACACTGTCCCCAACAAACCTAACCCATTTCCTAACTCCAACACCAACCCCAATTCTCAATATCTTTGTGACCAACTTCTCATTGAAAAACTGCTCCGCAAACATCGGCCAAGTCACCATGGGCACCCCAGAAGAGACTGCCTCCAGAGTTGAATTCCATCCGCAGTGAGTCACAAATCCTCCTATTGCTTCATGCTCTAGAATCCCCACTTGGGGCGCCCAATCCCTTATTACAAGTCCTTTCCCTTCCATTCTCTTCTCAAAGTCTTTAGGCAACCATTTTTCTTCATCCCTTTCTTCATTTTCACTTTCATTTTGTTTTGATCTCCTCACAGCCCAAATGAATTCATGCCCGGAAGCCTCGAGTCCCGAAGCAATCTCCGCAAGTTGGGAATCAGTGAACTTAGCCACACTTCCAAAGCTAACGTAAACAATAGAATTAGGCCTCTTTGAATCGAGCCACTTCAAACAGTTGTGTTGTTTTACTTCTCTCTCTTTGTCATCCTTATTGCATAGAGAAACGGGGCCTATATGCCAAGCCTTCCTTCCCAAAACTTTCATGTAATGATCCGCATACTCCGGTTCGAGATCATAAAAACTGTTCACAACAACTCCATAGCTCCTAACCTCGGATTCTCTCGCCTCTTCCAACAACTTTGTCATGTAACTCTCAACGTTGCGTCTCACCAACTCAGGAAGTTCCATTGTAGTCAAGCTTATCTCACCCGGAAGATCAGGAATCACAAAAGGCTCGAAATCGGATAAGGCCCTAATGTAAGGCTCATGAGCCTTGATACTCTGCCAAGCAGATAGGGAAAGGAAAAACCAGCCTCGGAATACCAAACTTGGCAGCAGCATCCGTCGCCCACGGGAAGAACATGTCGGCAACTAGACATGTCGGCATGTGCTTGCTCAGGAGCCGCTCGAGTGGCTCTCGGAGCTCCGCCGTGGCTTCATAGAAAGCCGCGATCATGTCTTGCGAGGGGACGGAGTCGATGTTCTCGCAATGTTGGGGTAGTCCAGAGCGGTCTGTGCAAGGGAAGTTGATGGTTTTGATTTGGATTTCTGATACAAGAAATTGGTTTGTTTGTTGGATGGTTTTGGACAAGAGAATGGCGTTAAGTGGTGTTGTAATGATGGTTGATCTCACGCCTCGCTTTGAGAATAGCTTGGCCATGTCTATGGTTGGTATCATGTGACCGTGAGACATGAACGGGAAGAAGAATATGTGTAGCTCGCGGCTAATCTTGTTTTGCACGTCTCTTGTTATGTTCATGATGAAAACTAAAGAGAAATTTGAAACAAAGAATTGTGTTTTTGTGTTGATTTCTTGAGCCAAAAGTAGCGTTTAAATGAACGAAAGAAATGAGTTCTAGATAGTAGATATTTATATATATATATATATATATATATATATGTGTGTGTGTGTGTGTGTAGCTGGTTTGCATTGAATGTCTATAAATTAAAAGTAGTTGGAGTTTTAACTTCATGCGTCCATTTAGTTTTAATGAGAGTTTTATGACCCGTTTAGTTCGATGATTTGAGTTTTTAATTCGAGTTGATATGTGACTTTACGTGAGAGCGTTTTTTAGAGCTTTTTACTATAGAAAAATTCGAATTCTAAACTCAAATCAGTGAAATGAACAGAATTTTAACTCATTTCTAACGTTAATTTGTACGAGTCTTAACTCATATAAATGAACGAAAGAAATGAGTATTAGATAGTAGATATTTGAATTAAAGAATTACGTTAGAGGGACGGTCCTTGAAACAGTAAAAAGCGCATATTATGAGTCCGTTTAGTTCGTTGATTTGAGTTTTTAATTCAAATTGAGATGTGACTTTATGTGAGAGCTTTTAACTGTAGTAAAAAAGTTAAATGTGACTGTTTCTAAGAGCTTTTTACTATAACAAAACTTGAATTCACATGGTATATATATATATATATATTGCATTGAATGTCTAAATTAAAATTAGTTTGAGTTTTAACTTCATGTGTTCATTTAGCTTGAATGAGAGTTTTAACTCAAATAAGGTTGAGTTTTAAATTCTGTGTTCATTAAGATAGATGAAGTATCTTAATTCGTAACTTTCTAAACAATTGAATGGCAATAAAAGTGTTATTATTAAATATGTAGCATAGTTTGAACTATTACTTTTGCTGTTTGAACTTTGATTAATTAAATAAATAGCAATAAATCCAATGACGTTAAATATCCAGAAAATTTCCCTTCTAAGCGTGTGATAATACCATACAAAATTAAATTTCGACATTTCACATGAAAATGAATACACAATATTGTGACCACTTTTCCGCTTGATCACTTATGATATAATTGAATTAATCTTATGATATAGCACTTAAGTACTAATTTACAAAGCTATAATTTTCAGTGCTTACACATCGAGATATAAGCGTGTTTTAATAATCGTTAATAACAAGTAAGGCATTTCTATGGTAGGGGGCACTAAAATTCCTATCGGTAGGGCGAAAACATAAATCGATAGATAGAATCGAAATGTTAAAAAATATGAGTGACTACAAAACAAAAATAAAATCTCTCACACAAGATCATTGCAACATTTATTCTAAAAAAAAAAAACACTTCTTCCCCAATTTTTCTAATATTTCGAAACCGTTAGATTATAATTTTTTCCAATTTTTTTTACTCTCAGTTACCTCACTAAAATCTAGGTAGCTCGCCGGAAATTGGGTCGCTCACCAGAATCTGGGTTTTAGTTCGTCTTGCAATTTTTTAATTTTTTTATTCTCATTATCTAGCTGGAATCTGACTAACTCGTCGAAAATTGGGTTTTAGCTTGTAAGAATCTGGGTTTTGCATAGGAAATATTGTTTTTGAATTGTGAAATTAATTTGTGTTTGAAAATTAATTTGTGTACTGATGAAAGTTATTTTTTAGGGAAAAAATTTTGTAAAATTTGTGTTATTGGTTTGATCTTTGAAAGAATTAGGGCCCGTTTAGTTCGTTGATTCGAGTTTTTAATTCGAGTTGAGATGTGACTTTATGTAAGAGCTTTTTACTGTAGCAAAAAAGTTAGATGTGATAGTTTGTGAGAGTTTTTTACTGTAGAAAAACTCAAATTCTAAACTCGAATAAGCGAAATGAACGGAGCCTTAGTTTGATTTTCTTAGGTTTGTTTGTAATTAGTTTGACTTTAGTTTCACTAACTACGCCGGTTTGCTTTTAGCGAGAAAAAAGAGAAAAAAAAAAAAATGCCTACGCTAGACGCTGGTTTGCAAATGTACATTAAATAGACATATAACCAAGATTTCAGAAGTAAGCACTCAACATTAATGCACAGTTTCTTTGTGTAGTACTTAAAAATAATTTATGACTGTAATGACCTCGCACGTGCTCAGGTAGTGATCCGAATATGCAAAACTTTTCTTTCTTTCTTTCTTTTTTTCTTTTGAGAAAATATGTGCAAAACTTTTCAATTCTATCTCCAACTTGTATTTCTTTTCTGAACTTTGAAAAGTTGATTGGTCCATTTTCGAATCTATAGCAATCTTGTGCCTCCCAATCCACATTTGTATCCCACAAAGTTTTTGGAGACTAGTCTGCTATAAGTATGAAACACAACCAACAATAAATAACACTGCTCAATATTAGCTACTTATAAAATCTCAATCAATTATTTAAGGGTTGCTCTTTTGTATTTTTGAGTTAAGGTGGTTTGAGTAATAATCTTGAATTAAGTTTAAGTTATAATTTGAGTTAAAGTTGTAATTTTAATTTGTGTTTGGATGTGCACATTTGAGTTATGATTTGAATTGAGAATCATTTTGAGTTTGTGTTTGGGTGGG